GTCTGTCTGTCTGTCTGTCTGTCTGTCTGTCTGTCTGTCTGTCTGTCTGTCTGTCTGTCTGTCTGTCTGTCTGTCTGTCTGTCTTACTTTTCCCCAGCAATAAATGAACTTCATTCTGTCGCCGTGTTTCTCCTTACTCCAACAAATATTCATTATCCTCAGTAAATCAACGAAGAATAAAAAACCTTTTCGAGATTTCACGAGGTATAATTCCGCCATTTCTTTATTTGAAATGTGTGTGACAGGATAGCATTGGCGTTTTGAATTTAAAAATTCAAATTACTCAGAATTTACTTTTTAGGATTTGTCTGGTTTTTCCCCTATGGTCTTCAATTACGATTTTGAACACTCACTTAATCTCTCTTTATATTCCCCGATATCAAAATAAATGACAATTTTAACTTCTTTAAACTATGAACAGAATATAAAAGCAGTAATACTCACTTAATATCTCTTTATATCCACAGAAATCAAAATAAATTACAATTTCAACTTCTTTAAATTTTGAACAGAATAATATAACAATTGTAATACTCACTTAATCTCTCTTTATTTCCCCGGGGAATCAATGCAGGTTAATTCATTTTAAGGATTCTATGACATACATATTAGCATGAAAGTCCTTGTCTATTTCTTTACTCATAACATTTAATTTTTTTTTTAAAGATTAGTATTATTATGATTATATACAGCAATGTCAATATTTTAAAATCATAATCAATAATTACAACTTTAGATATTCACTTTTATCAGTCTTTATTTCCCTTGGAATTAAAATAAACCACCATGCCAATTTCTTTAATCATAAACACGTCATATTAAAACTTGGAATACTCACTTTAATCTGTCTTTATTTTACCAGGAATCAAATAAACGTCAAATTCTTTAAATCATAAACAATGATTAAAACTTCTAATATTCACTTTTATCTGTCTTTATTTTCTTTGGAATTAAAATAAACCACCATGTCAATTTGTTTAATCATAAACACGTCATATTAAAACGTGGAATACTCACTTTAATCTGTCTTTATTTCCCTAGGAATCAAAATAAACGACCAGGTCAATTTCTTTAAATCATATAATGATATCATATTGAAACATGGAATACTCACTTAATCTGTCTTTATTTCATCACATATCGAAATAAACCACAATGTTAATTTCTTTAAATCGTAAACATGTCAAACTAAAACTTGCAATACTCACTTTAATCTGTCTCTATTTCCCCGGGAATCAATGGCTCTCTTGCAGGGACAGTCCAGGAATGTGAACAGCTCTACCAGCCTGGCTTGATCAGAAACAGTTGGCCATCTCCATTTCCACGTCTCTTTGCCTTTTGATGGAACAAATAGCACAGATTCTTTTTTCATCGATCTTTTTCTGGTATTTCTGTTTCCGTTTCTAGCGAGTTTACACCTGG